TATCTTTCTTTTAAGGCTGAATAATATTCCAATGTATGGAAGTCATTAAGAAAATCCTTCGAAGGCTGGAGGTTCAAGTGGTAGAGCACCTGTAAGTGGGAAGCCAAGTTCAAACCCCAGTAACAAACACACACACACACCAGAAATTTTTTGAGGGTGTGGGATATGGTTCAGTGGCCACTTTCTGACCTTTAGAGAAGCTTCTGGAGACAGGACGCCTTATAGGGGGATATCTGCTTCTGAACTGTGTAAATCATGTGGCTGACTCTATGATTTACAAGGCTGTATTTAAGCTCTAAATGGAAACCTTTATCCACCCAATCAGCAACAGAGGAAAAGAATCAGGCTGTCAAAATGATAAAGGGGCAGTTAGGCCTGGAGGTGGCTATTATTTCTCTTGACTATATAACTATTTTTCTAAGCCTTGCAGAACACATTATTACCATGATTGATTCTTCAGAGCCCTGCCTGTGAGAAGCATTCTCAATGCCTGATGAGACCAACAAAATTCCTCTGGAGACATTACCACCTCCCAAAGGCAGGGTGGCACAGTGGCTTGGGGCCAGAAGCTCCAAGTCTGGGTCTGGGTGGCAGTCCTTCATTTCTTCACTCACTGACTCTAGTGAGATAACAGCGCCTGGCTGCTAGATGACTAAACTGCTGATCATGTAAAGCACAGTCAGCATCATGCCTGGCACACAGCAAGCACTTGTTATTTTAACTGTAAGTATGTGTAAGTATGCTTATGTGGTACTATGGCTTGAATGTGTTCCCCATAGTCCGTGCACTGGCAACCTAATTGTCAATGCAACAGTATTGGGAGGTAGGACCTACTAAAAGGTAATTGGGCCTTCTCATGAATGGACCAAGGTCAGTACCATGGAGTGGGTTGTTATGTGAGCTGGGTTCCTCTTGCTCTTTTGTATCATCTTCTGCCCTCACAAAGGCCCTCACTAGATGCTGGTGCCATGCTTTTGGACTTACCAGACAGCACAACCATGAGCCAAATAAATTTCTGTTCAGTTTAAATTACTCAGTCTCAGATATTCTGTTGTAGCAGCAGGCAACAGACTATGACCCCTTTTAAGGTGAATCCAAGAATCTTATGAATATGAAAAGACACTGGAAACACTGATCCTCACTCCTCCCTCTCTGCAGGATCCCTTCCCTGCATGCTGACAGGGAAGGGGCTCATTCTAGTGAAGAAGCATGAACAATGTTTCAGGACCTCTTTGTTAGTTAGACGGATACCTGAAAACAGCTTCTCTGTAACTTCCACCCACACATCTGAGCTCTGGCCTCTGGAGAAACACAAAACCCAGGTCTGGCAAGCCTTCAGATATACCACCCACATGAAAGCTTCTCTTTCCAGGATAATCAGCACCAACTGTTTCAAACATTCCTCATATGGTCTCCAAACAAGTCATATGAACACAGTTCTACCAGACACTGCACACCCAAGTATGGTTCTATTTTCCTCCCCAGGAGATTGTTATTGACACTGCTATGATCTGGCCTGCTTCTGAAAGTTCCTCATTTCACCCAAAATGGTATCACCACAGTATGAACATCACCTTTGCCTTCCAAAGACTGAGATAGTTGTAAAAATCAAATGAATGCTGAAATGATGTCCTTTTGCACCTGAGGGTATTCTATAGCTTAGACTTGGCATTCTTAAAGTAATGGAAAAAATAAAACCATAAAAAATCCACTTGGTGGTGCATACCTCTAGTCCCAGCACTCCAGAGAATGAGGCAGGAAGACTGGAGTTTGAGGCCAGCCTGGGCTACATAGCAAGGCCCTGTGTCAAAAAAACAAAAAACAAAAAAAACAAAACAAAACCCATTTGGTTAACTTTTCTTCTGTGGTACTGGAGATTGAACACAGGGCTTCACACACACTAGTCAAGTACTCTACCACTGAGCTAACCCCCAGTGAGGAAGCCTTTGTAATTATGACATAAAACCTGGAAATAAAATCAGATAAATTTGTATGAAAATGTAAGTTTGATCCATTATATATGCATTAAATGAAAATGTAAGTTTGATCCACTATATATGCATTAAATAAAAACATCATAAACATAGTAAAAAATTAAGGTACATTGTAAGCACAAATGGAAATGTCACAATAGAACCCCCTGAAACATATGCTAATAAAAATGTTTTTTTAAAAAAGTAGTAATGGAGTAGTCCCACTGTGATCTTTTATTGGGGGAGCATCTTTCCTGTTTTGTCTTTTCCAGCCTGTATCATGTGTTGGTCTCCAGATCCCTTCTCCAAGGTTTAACTCTGGGGAGTCTACCAGACAGAAGATAGCTTGGCTCTGGTTTTGTTGGTGCCCAAGGTTCCCCTTCCCATCTCTAGAGTTGGGGTTGCACCAACCACTTTCCAAAAGATAGAAGCCCCCATTTCTCTTTTTCCTTTCTTTCGTTTTGGTGGTACTAGGCTTTCTACTGGCTAGGCAAGTGCTTTACCACTTGAGCTACCCCCAGGCCTCTATCACAATGGGATAATTTGTTTAGCAAATAAAGATCTCCTAAAATCAGTAAGAAAACAGATATTTCATCGGAAAGGGACATGGTTAGCTCTTTAGACATACGAGATAGCACTCTGGTGGTGCAACTGGTTAGCATGTAGTACTTATAGACATACAAGATGAATTAGATAAATGTATTATTAAAACTACTAGCCATTATTTTCTTTTTTAACCAGTCAGAATGGCAAAGATCAAACTGCTGGTAATACCTGTGCTAGTGAGGGTGCAGGGAAGTCAGTATCAAACCTTAGAAGGAATCTTAGGTTGCTTAGATCCTTAGATCCAGCAAGTCAGGATGGCTCATGTGCATGGATGTGGGACTGGAAACAACCTGATTCCATGAGGTCCTGTCTTCTAGACATGGTAACACAGGTGGCTCAGCATGTAGACAATGTGTTTGAACTATTGTTCTAAGTGGAAACAGATGAGTATGGGGCACATAGGTAAGGGATGCGTGTGCCCCAAGCAGACCCCTCTGAGCACACAACCTCTAGGAGGGCACAAACTCTCAGAGTCTGTAGCTATTTTTAAAAAACAAGAGCCTACTTTATTATCACAAAAGACACTCAGAATGAAATGACTTGCATATTTTGCTTGGCCCAGAAATATTCCATGACTTATTTGGTGCTCTTTTGGTAAATGTCCAGTTGTTTACACTTTTTCAGAAGTGAGATCACTAACCTTTATTTAAATGGACCAAATCAATTTTCACTTTACCTTCATGTATCTTTGATATGTTGTCTCTGGAGTTCTTTAAATATTTAGACCATTAGATATTATGGAAGGAAAGGGGCAGGCTTGGACCCTGCCAAGGTGGGGCCATTGCAGTGTGGGGGAGAGGACTTTTTGTATGCCCTTCTCAGGAAAAACTTCCTGGATCTGATCCCAATGTGACTTTACTGGGGGAGCAAAGATGCTTTGTCTTTTCTAGTCTGTGTCATGTGTTGGCCTCCAGACCCCTTCCCCAAGGTTTACCTCTGGGGAGACCCCCCCCCAGGCAGAAAACAGTTGGCTCTGTTTTTTTTTTTTTTTTAAAGTTATTATTGTACTGGGAGTCTTGTTTTTATTTGTGCCCTGGGGCCTCCCTCCCACCTCTGGAGTTGAGGTTGTACAAACAACTCTCCACACAGAAGTCCCCCATTTACTTTTTCTTTTCTTTTCGTTCCCTCCTTCCCTTCCCTCCCCCTCCTTCCTTTCTTTTTGGTGGTAATGGGGTTTGAGCTCAGGGCCCTGAACCGAGCCACACCCCAGTCTGAAGTTCTCTTTTTCTGAATGGCCTGGAGGCTACATCCTGTCACCTCATCACAGTCAGGTTCTGAGATTACTCAGGGGGTGGGTTGGCCTGCAGTTCTCTCCTTTGCATGCAACCTCTTTGGGACTGTACCAGAACAGTCAGGTCTTTGCTGAGCACAGGCTGACGTGGCTCAGTGACTTACCATACACTGGAGGAGGTGATATGCCCAGAGCCTTCCATTCTGTGAGTTGCTGTCCCAGGAGGGGTGGAGCTCTACTCTTAACAGATTGCTGATAGACGGAGGTCCTGGCCAGACTGAGACAAGCCAGGCCTCTAGATGGTCTTTAAGTGTTGCTGAGCATTACACTACTACTTGTCATCCCATTTTTGGCAGGTTTTTAAGTATTAGTAGACGGGGATCTCAGCTGCTGGGGGGAATGAATGTTGGCTGCTCACAGAGAGGAACCAGAGAAGAGAAATCCTTGTAAACCTTTATTTGGGCAGAACACAGGAGGTTCAGCTTATTTCATATATGTGCATTCACTGAAAGAACAATGGGGAACTTGGGCACCAGGACCTAAACAATGATCGAGCAACACACACAGCCCAAGCCCAGGGAGGAGGGCAGGTCTGAGACAGCAAGAAAGCCACAAAAGCATGTTTCTGGGGTTGTGTCTTTGACCTGCCCTGCTAATCTGCAAATGGCTCACAGCAGTAATACATTCACTGGGACACAGGGTTGTGTCCAAAAAAGTGGCTCAGACATGGTTTCTACACAAGCTTTTGGCACTCACAAGACAGGTAGTACTCAGGCGGCACAATCATCAATGTTATAAGCAATCAAACCCAGCTCTGCTCACAATCACTGCAGAGCTGGGAACAATGGCTCTGGGAGTCTTCTCTGCCTTCTTCCTACTCAGTGCCTTCCCCATCAGTTAATTCAACAGAGCAGACTTCTGTGTGACTTTGTTGTCCATCCCTGAGGATGAGATGAACATGCTCAAGACCTGCTGTCCTGGAGACTGCACTGGCTCTTTCTTGGCTCCCCCCAGAGCAGCCAGGCCAACTTGTATAACTTCCCAGAACTCTCTGGGGAAGGTGGAGGCCTGTCTTGGGGAGGGAATAGCAGGGGCTGGGAGACAAAACAAGCTGCGTAACAGGGAGGCACGTAAAAGCAGTTACAACCCTGCAGACGGGGTGGGGGTGGGGGGACAGGGTCTGTGGGCTGGCCTCGAGCGTATGCCCTTGGCCCTGTCTGGCTCACTGTTTACCTGGAGGCAGGCAGACAGGAGGCCTGGGGCGGGGTCCATGTCCCCAGGCCCAGGCTTTGCCAAATGAGGCACAGCAGGACTGGACCAGTCAGCACTAGCCCCACTAGTTCCAGGCAAATCTGTGACAGGTACCACTGCAGGCAGCGGGAGGAGGTTCTCAATCAGCATGGTGACTCTTTAAGAATGGAATCATGTCCAGGATGGAGGGATCCATGGATATGGGAGCTGGAAATGCTGGCTGGGGTGAGAATTGAGGCTCCGCAGCTATGAGGGTGGACTCTTCTGTCTGTTGAGGGAGTCGATGTAATGGAAAATGGCCCCCAGAGCCCAACTGGTCTCGACATTGTCAATTTTCCGAGTCAGCTTGAAAACACAAACAGAGGGGCAGAGAGCACCATACCCGAAATGTGAAAAGCCAGGTGGCATCTATGGATGAAGGCAACCTGGTCAGGAGGCTGGAAGTGGCTCTAGGATGTTTATTGGAAGCCAGGGATGGGGTGGAGGATGAAACACCAACAATGGGGTCAGCAGTTGTAGGCACCCTACCCAATAAGTGGAATGGAACTCCCAACAGGTGAGTCCTTACTTTTAGCACTTTGTCCCTGGGGAAGCCAAGCTCCTGGAGCAGTGAGCTGATGTAGATGAGATCCATGCACGTGAAGGGGCTGGCTTGCGGCCGGGTCTCCAGGGTCCGACACACTGGGGAAAGACAACCAGCTCCCAGTCCCATTTCAGATAATTCCCTCCTTGGGGGAAGGGTGGGAGGTAGACCCTGGCTCTACCCACTTTGGTGTCCACCTAGTTCCTCACTCCTGATTTACAGTCAAAACTGCAGCTCTGAGTGGGAGGGTGATATCCAGAAGCAGGTTGCAAAGTTAATTCTAACCTCCACTAGGTTTGGACCCCAGGACCAAGAGGGACCTTCATTCCTTCACTTGGGGTCACAGTGGAAGACCACCATCTCTCAGGCCATGTCTGTACCCGTGACTCTAGATTCCTCTCCCGGGTACCAACCCACATAAAACCTGAGCTTTCCAGGTTATGAAAATAACCTCGAAGCCAGCTTAGAAAAATCTCATGCTCTTGAGAAAGAAGGTGAAATCAACCAAGATGCTGAAAGTCCAGGGAAGAAACTGGAAGTGACATGAGAGCATAAAGACACTTTTTCAGCAAGGGGTAGAGGCAGGAGAAGGGAAAACATTTTATGGAGAAATAAATGAAGTTTAATTCTTTTGATCTTCCAGTTGGGAATAGCAACCAAAAGAGCAGAATACAGAAACTTGCATGTTCACTCCCTAGTTTCTGGTGAGGGTGTGATGCAGAAGGGACTGGGCTGGGAGGGAGGGGAAGGGCCAAAGGGTGAGACACAGAAGGGCAACCCTTCATCCCTGCAGCACAAGCTTTGCTATGCAGGCCCCTGACTTTTTCAGGGTGGTGTCACCCCCCAAGACCTTGCTGACACATCCTGGGAAAACCACTCTTGGCGTTACTTAAGTAGCAAAAAAAAAAAAGAAACCAGGTTCTGCTCCTCAAGGTCCTATGAGGGAGGAGCTGGGACTGTGGCCTTTTGAAGCTGGGGACACTGAGGCCTTTCCTGTAGCCACTACCACGAAGGTGGACCTGGGGTGTGCATATGGTGTCCTCAGTGCACTTTGGACTCCACAGTTACACTCCTCTGGATGCCCATCTTCTAGCTGACAGAACCAGAAGCCAAGCCAGGAATTCCTGACCCTCACCCCAGCAAACACAGTGCCACTCACCATACTTGGCTGCTATCTCAAAGTCCCCGACAACCAGGCTGCCTCCCTTCTCAGCATCTGTGGGAAGAGACAGGCACCCAGTCTGTAGAAGCATCCCACAAGTATGTGATGCCACTGAGGCCCAAGGCTGGTACCTGGGGATCCCAGACCAGGAGATCCATGGTACCTTTTCTTGTAGATCCCTCTCCTTTGGTACCACGGAGCCACCCATACTGGTTGATGGTGGCTTTTTTATTTTTCCAGTGCTAGGGATCAAATCCAGGCCTTGTGCTTGCTGGGCAAACACTTAACCATGGAGCTACACACTAGCCCTTGACTGTGGTGTCAAGACGTGGTGTAGCTTGGGTAAGCAGGTACTCCCACAGGACATGGGGTCTTAAAAGCATCACCTTATCCCAATCCTGCAATATCCTCACCAGAGAAGCCTCATAGGAATTCTGGAACCCAAAGATTGAGCAAATTCTTAAAGCCAGAAAGAGTAGAAAAATAGAGGGAAATAAATGTTTCCTGAAACCCTAGAGTCTATTATTAATTTCTCCACTGGGAAGAACAAAGATCTGTAAAAGAGAAATGAGGAGTGGTCTTAGAACAGATGGATTAAAAAAAAAAAAAAAAAGAACAGATGAGTAGCGCCTTCTTGGGGCTCTGCAGCCCCTGACTTTGGGTATTTGCTAAGTCAGCAAATATCACCATTAAGGGTATTCTGAGTTCTGAACACAGACCTACCCTGCTCTTTCAGTGCCAAACATGGCTACAATGGGCAGATGGAATAGCCCTGCATTTTCTCCTAAGGTCACCCCAGTGAAGATGGTGGCCTCCTGGCAAGGAGAGCCTGTAGTCAGTGATGTCAGTGAATACAGGATATAGTCCTTCTTTCTCAGACTACTCTGAAGAGGAAAGTCAGGCAAGAGTGCCAATATGAGGGGCCCCAAAGAGCCAGCCCAAAGGTGAGGCCCCTAGTAGATCGCCAGACTAATCCAGGGTGTAGTAGGCCCTGACATGGCAATGTTCACAGCCATGTATATAGTCTGGAGAGCTCTGATGTTGCCTTCCACCCCTGTCTGTCCACTCCTGTCAGGTTGGGGTCTACAGTTGGCCCTGGGACAGTACAGCCAGTATATATGTGGGAGGCCCACAGTCCCAGGGAGCTGGAACAATTACTTTATTTATTTATTTATTTATTTATTTATGGCTGGCACTAGGGTTTGAACTAAGGGCCTTACACTTGCTAGGCAGGCACTCTACCACTTGAGCTACTCCATCAGCACTGTTTGTATTGCTTTTTTTTTCCGAGATATGGTTTTGTGAACAACTTGCCTGGGGCTGGCTTCAAATCATGATCTTCCTTAGTATGAAAGTCACCAAATACCTGACTGGTGTTCATAATTTATTTCATTAAGAAAATTCTGATCTCTAGGCGTTAAGTAACTCTGTGACCCTCTTATGAGTGTACACACTGTCTGGCCACCAGCAGGCTCAGCAAACACTAACACCTTGCTCTGTCTGCCTCCTCTGCTCCTGGGTGAAGGATGAGCCAGAACAAGGCTGGGGAAGCATTCAGCCACTCCTTTATCATAGGCAGCTCTGAGCCAGAACCGCAGGGCCTGGCCAGAACCTGCTGCGGGCAGGCCTGAGGAGTGAAACATGAGTCAGGTCAGGGCAAGCTGTGCCTTCCAGCAGAAGTTCACACCAACAGCAAGTAACTGTCCATTTAAGTGAGTGACTTAAGGGACTAACTTAACTGTAGAAAGGGGCTTAGTAATTTAACTTCCAAAGATAAGCCCTCTCCACAGCCCTGTTCTCCTAAGCCTACTCCTGGTAACTGAGGGTGACTTAACTCCACCATTCACCGCCACAGGCGCTCTGCCTGTATCCCATCTGGCCCAGCCAGGCCTGGTCCTTACCTATGAGGCCCACACTGGCTGCAAGGTCATAGTAGTAGGAGAAAGCATAAAAGTCCACGTGATCCACCTCTTGTGTCCTGTGCACTTTATTTCGAAGAATTTCCGATACTCTGTGGGCGCACAGATCATAAAGGCTGGCTGCAGGGGCGGAAAGGAAAAGCACACAGCTAGCTAACAGTCAGTGACACCAGGGCACTGGACTTTGTGGCCCCTCAGACACCTTCCCCAGTGGTGTGAGGCCTGGACTTGGATAGCAGAGAAAAGAGCAGAGTGAGATGGGACCCAAGGTCCACACATCCCTAGCCCAAGTTGGAGGCTGCTCACGACACATGGCCAGAGCAACCCTTTATGAGCCAGGCCACTGTCAGTCCAGGTCAACAGGGAGAGAAGCCTCCAAGCACAGTGGCTGGAGAAAGTGCAGCTCCCAACTTTGAGGGGGAGGCCGCTGCACAATGATATAAAGTGATTGTCACTGGGCCTGTGCAGCCCTCCATACCCAGCTTTTTGGTGCTATCCACCTAAACTCACCCTCTGCTAGTCTGTGCTGAGCTTCACCTCAGCAGCCAGTTCAGCGGCCTGTACCTTTTCTATGTCACAGACCAGGAAACAGAAGCTCTGTGGGCCACTTGCCAAGCTTACACAGTAGAGGGAGAATGGCAACATAGTGACCCTAAAGTTAATGAACTTGAGATCAATCAACTGCCATGGACATCCATCAGGCACCTCAATGTTCCATGCCTCGATCTGCTTCAATCAGTCTCCCTGTCCTTCCTCCAGAGCCATGCCTTGCCCTTTGGAACTCATTTCCTCCCAATGTCCCTCATCATACCAGTCCCATTCTCTCCTTCTTGTTCTCTAAATAAAGCCGCTGCCTGGGGCCTTTGCTTCCCTGGCTTGGAGAACTGCTGCTTTAGATCTGGGCAGCTTTGGACTGAAGGTGTGGTTCAAGTGGTAGTAAGCACAGGACTCTGGATTCAAATCTTAGTACAATCTAGATCTGGGCAACTTGTTCTGGCTCTTTACATCTTGGCTCAAGTGTTATGCCACAGTCCTTTTTTGGCTGTCTTGGTCAGCACTGCAGTCTCCCTTCTCAGCATCCATCCCTGCCATTTCATTTTTTCTCAAAGCACTTTTTCCTGTGTTTCACTGCCTCACTCCTCCCACTGGAACCCAGCTATACTACCCTGCCGTGTGTCCCATGCCTGTGGTGAGTCCTGGCCTTCAGCATGTACACAGTGGATGGGTGAATCAGACTGACCTGCACAGTCACCAAAGGTGGACACACCTCATGCTGTGTGTCCAACCTGGGAACAATATTTCAATATTTCTTTTAGAAAAACCCAAAAGGCCCAGCCCAGATATGGCCATTTGTCTTGGGCTTGAAGTATTTAGGTTCTTCCTCACTCAAGACTTGTCAGGAAATTGGGCTCTGTGGAAAGAAGCATTCAGTGTCTGGCAAGGGAGATTTGTGCAGAGAGACCCTGAAGGAAGGAGGGAAGGAGTCAGCAGGCCCCAGGTCTTATAAAGACCTCCCAATCTCTGATAGGGTTCAAACCATCTGCATTTCCATGGCTAGTGTGGGCTTGTCTGTGCCAGAGGTATTTGGAAAAGCACAGAGGGTGGCAGGCTGCCACCTGGCTCTCATGGGCCCCTGAGGAACAACAAATACATCTTACCTGCCTTCTGTCCAGAAATTCTGTATGTGATTTCAGCATGCTCCCACTCTCCTTTAAACTCAGGAGGCAAACAAGGGCTGAGCAATTCCTTCCCATCCTTAGCTGAAATAAAGAGATAAGCATGAAAGGAAGAAAGCTGTGTCCTACTGTCAGATGGGGCCTCATGGAGCTGCAGAGAATGCTGCAGGTTGTTAACAAGGGCACTGGAGTGGCCAGTGTACCTGCCTAGTAGGGATGGCCATCAGCTGAAAGAAGAAAACCCTTCTCTATCATCCAGCGGTAGCAAACCACATCTGTCTTGGAAACACGTCTGCTGCCAGGACACGTAGCTCACATTGTTTGAGGACTATGGAGTTCTAGACACCTAGCACTCTATGAAGGAGGGAGGGAAGGTCATGACCCAACTTCACAGTCAAATGAGGCTATGAGTAACTGGCAGATTGGTGGCAGGGCCAGGACATGTGCAACCAGGTGTCACCATGCTAGATTGAATCTGTGATGCTCCATAACACAAAAACTGGGCTTACAACTAGCAAGGGAAGCTGGTGGCTGGTGTCCAAGGCTGCAGACTTTCTCAGACAGCAGACTGCTCTTCCCTGGAGAGGGCCTTTTTCCCTTCCCTGGATTTTAGTCTGGGTGAGAAGTGATGGTAAGTGACTACAGGGCAGTCTTCCTTTCTTGGAGCTGCCATGTAAGCAGTCCAGGCTACTCTGCTGGGGGTAAGGCCACCTGAAGGAAAGCTACTGCATGGAACATCAACACCAGCCATCCCTATGGCAACCACATGAGATCCTGAGATCCCAGTAAAGGCACTGCCTAGCCAAGCCCCAGGGAATCATGTACAATAATAAAATAATGGCTCCTTGCTGTTTTTCCTTTTTTTGTGGTGCTGGGGATGGAAGCCAGGGTCTCAACATTCTACCTCTGAGCCCCACCACCTGCTGTTTACCACTCTATCTGGGGGTGATCTGTTATGCACTGAAGACATGACACCTGCTGGTGACACCTGCTGCTACACTGAGCAGGAAGAGGATGGAGGAGGCCAGACCAAGACTCCAGAGCTAACCACTGAGGGGCAAAGAGTGCCTGCCTTCTTCTTGGCCAAAGAATACATATTCCTGGCTCTAGAGTGAAGACTGTAGGTGTTTCTGAGATGTGGACATATTTTTGGTTTACAATAAAGGGGATACCACTGTAAGGATACAGACCATGATTTAAAAGAGAGGACTGAAATAGAATGTGCATAGGAAAATGAAAATTCCAGTTGAACAACCAAGACTTTGAAGGATGCTGGGCTAGAAGTGTTGGCCAATGAAGGGTGCCCTATGCTGGGGAACACGCATGGGCTCTGGTCAGAGTGCATAAGGCCAACATGTCTGCATCAGGAAAGGCAGGTAGGCCCCCGCCCCTGAAGTGAGCTGCTGTGATCCCTAAGCTTTCCTAGGAGTGCATGCACACAGGTTCAAGGCCCATCGGAAGGAGCAGCTAGACCTTCTAATGACCTGACCAGACACCTGCTTCCTCCTAGATGTAAGGAAGAGATAAGGCAGTTTTTAAAATAATTTTTCATAGAGCAGAGATGATGGAGGGACCTTCTCACAAGCTGGAATCTCTGTTAAAGAGAGAAAAACTTCCCCTGATGGCAACAGCTGCATAATCACCAACTCATGGCCCCTCCTACACTGTCTGAAGAACCAGACTGTCTCTTCAAGCCCCTAAAAACAAGTCGCTATGGTTTGGATAAGTGTTCCCCCAAAGCCATGTGTTAAGGCTTCATTCTGACCTGTGGGTTGTGGTGGAACCTTTAGTAGGTAAAGCCTACTGGAAGGGAGTGAGGTCACTAAGGACATGTCCTTGAAGGAATAGTGGGACTGTGGCTCCCTCCTGTTTCTTTTTGCATCCCAGCTGCCATGAGGTGAGCAGTTTCCTCTGCCACATGCTACCACCATGATGTTCTACGTTATCACAGGCCCACAGGGAACAAAGTCAACGAACCAGGGACTGGAACTTCTGAAATCACAAACCAAAATGAACCTTTCCTTCTTCTAAGATGTTTGGCCCAGGTGTTCTGTCACAGTGACAGAAAGAAAGCTAATACACGAGTTGACTCCAGATATAGGTGATGGTTATATAGTTACTTGGGTTCCTAGAATCTGTTTCAGAAATGATTTCACTACTGTCTTAAAAAAAAATAGAATGTTCAGAGGTAGAACATATACTCCTTGTCCCCATTAGGATATCCTAGAAAAGATCTGGACACATCCCTGAAAGGTCATCAGCAGCCCTGCACCTTGGCTGGCTGGCCAGTGGCAGCTGGCCAAATAAGTGGAGGGGCAAGGGAGGCATGTTTCACTCCCACTGAGGGTGGGATAGAGCTTTGAGTAATGTGTTCCACTCACCAGGTTTCCCCTCCACACCGCCCAAGATTGCCAGTCGTGCCGACATCAGTCCCAGCCCCAGGTAGCTGTGGAGATAACACCGTGGTGAGTTGGCCTGCATGGGAAGACTCGATGCACACGTGCAACTGCCTGGGCCCAACATGAGTGGAAAAGGTGGGAGCTTGGGGCAGGCAGTAATGAGCTTTCCTGCTTCTTCTAGAAACTTCTTGCTGGGTTTAGAGCATTCAGCTAGATAATTCGCCAAAGAAAGGCCTATCATGAGTTCATATGGGAGCTGTGAACACTGTAGTATATGAGACACAGTCTACCCCAGTCTTTTTTTTTTTGAGGTACTGGGGCTTGAACTCCGGGCTTTCACCTTGAGCTACTCCACTACTCATATTTTTGTGAAGGGTTTTTTGAGATAAGTTCTCACAGAACAATTTGCCCAGGCTGGCTTCAAACTGCAATCCTCCTGATCTCTGCCTCCTGAGTAGCTAGGATTACAGGTGTGAGCCACTGGGGCCTAGCACTATCCCAATCTTTCAGGGCTCAAGAAGAATTTACTAAAGGTGGCAAGTGTCAAAAAGGTGGCTCAGAAAATTTCTGCACAGGAATCCTAGGCTCCTCTGTCTTTTGCAAGCCTCCTCCAAAACAGAAGAGGATAAGCACAAAATAGGATTGTAATTTTAACTACAGATTTTTTAAAAAATGAGGGAGGAGGAGTGAGGAGGAAAGGAAGCAAGGTAAGGAGGGCTCCCATGGAGTCACAGCACAGGGGATGCTGGGATCTGGTATTTATGCTGGAATCATCCCACTAGTAGACAGGAATTGGAGGCATACCAGGGCTGGTGCAATGCCATCTGAGCTGCCAGCCTTAGCCTTCCTCACCTCTGGAAAACCCACCTGTAGGAATAGAGCTTGTAGGTCCTGTTAAACATCTGCAGCGCGGTCAGGTGGCCGGGCGGGGAGGCCTGAAGGGTACCCTGGGGAGTAACATGATGGTTACTGCATTTCCTGTTGGTCTTTCCGGAAGACTGTCCCCTCCTCCCTCAAGTCATTTGGAAGAACAGGGACATTTAGATGGAGATAATTAAATGAGCTTTTCATTAAGTTCCTTGCTGTGAAACAGTAAGGAGCAAGCAATAAAGCATCCGGAATGTTCCTCCTTATGAGTACAATTTTACCCCATTTTTTTTCTTTTCTTTTGTGGCACTGGGGATTGAACCCAGAGCCTCATATATGCTAGGTAAGCACTATACCATTGAGCTACATTCCCAGTCCCTTTTTTTTTTATTTTGAGACAGGTCTTGCTAAATTACCCAGGCTGTCTTCAAATTTGTGATCTTCCTGCCTCAGGCTCCAGAGTACTGGGATTACAAGTTTGCACTACCACTCTCAGCACATTTTACCCATTCTGACAAGTACGGCCCAACCAGACAAATTAGAATAACAGTAAATTTAAGTGCTCTATTCCACTGAAAACAAAACATAGTAATAAGAAAATGAGTGGGTGAGAAGGAAGCCATTAACTGACTGGAAGTGTTTTCATCTCCTTTAGAACACTTGTCTTGAAAAGGGCTGACTACAAACTATGCATTGTCTGTTCTTATTCCTTCCCTGAAACCCCACAGGGGGTGGGAGGCATCCACTTCATGTTCTCTGACCCAAAGGTTTCTGGTTATTACTAATTTATCACCCTACTACAGATCGAATATCTGTTTTGGTTTTGTTTTCCAGGCAGACCTAAAAGCCAAGTCAGGAGCGTTATCTGTGAGAGAACTCAGGTGTGTTGTCTTCCACATGCTAAAGGGCCTCCCCTGGGTGGCCACAGCTTCCTGGCCATGATGGGCAGTGCACCCTGGCAGCATCTGCCTTGTTACCCAGGACTCTAAGACAGGCAGGGCTGGTTACCTCGACCCGAGGAAGGAAGGTGATCTGAGTGGATCCTCCGCCCAAATCCAGCATGCCCACACTGCTCCTTCCCGGGGTTTTCAAACTGCCTAGATCACAGCGAGTAAAGACACAGCACTGTCGTATTAGGAAGCAGATGAGAACAGTAGGAAGTTCAAGAAAGGTCAAAAGCCAGGCCCTTTAGTGGAAAGAAAAACAAGATAAGGAAGTAGCTGCAACTATCTACAAATCTCTACTTAAAGGTGTATTAAGGGCAGAATCAATGGCTTTGATGTGAATAATGACAGGACAGGGTGACACTGAGTGCCAGGAAAGACACTAGAGCTGGTGTACATGCTGGGAGCAGGCCCTGACTCACCATCCAGGAGACACTGACCTTGATATGCTGACAGGAGCTGCAAGGTCCCCTTTGGTTCTGTCTCCACTCTGCTTCCCACAGACACCTCTCCTTAGCATGCTCCCCTTAGCATCTCTCCACTTTCCTAGAGGGCAAATCCTACTAGAAAACCTCCCTTGTCTTCATACACATACCAGACACACTGCTCTTTTTCATAATTCCAGAAAGGGACATGCCCAGAGAGCAATCTATGAGAATGTCTCCTCACTGTTTGTTTCCAAGACAGATGTTTCTGTCATAAGATGATCAGTACCCATCTCACACTGAACATCTGAAAACCTGTTTTCTCATTCACTCTCTCAGAAACAAACAACAAGATAGGGCCCGTGGTGAATGCTTCGCAGTCGTCAGGCAGCAGTTGTGCTGGGAGAAAAGCAGCCTGGGCAAAGAGGCCTCTGGAACACATATACCTCCAAGCTCATGGCTGCTGCTAAGTCAGGTGAACACTGCCACCCCACAGCCTACGTCTGGGCCAGCAGCACTGAAACCTGGGGGTTATGGAAATGAGGCTCCTGTACTCCAGGAAGCCCCAATAGGCTCTCTGCTGGGGAATGTGAACTGACACTACCTTTCCCATCAAGTGGACACGCACCTGTTAGGAAGTTGATGGTGATCCAGGCCGAGACGCCTGTAACAGAGGGGCACAGGCAACATTTTAATCACTTGAGATGGTCAGCATAAGGCCCAGTACTGCTATCCAATCCTTCCAAATTGTAGCGGGCAGAGAGAGCACTCCTCAGAACTCTCGGCCTTCAGACCATCCAGAGAGGATCACCGTGTATAAACGAAGGCAGAGGCTCTGCACTAGTCTAGAAGATACTACACTAAAACCTAGAACACTTTGTCAAATGCCATGTGTCCCTCTGGTGCTTCATCAGCTTCATCCTTTGGGAGAGACAGGAAGAGAACCCAATGTTCCCTCCACCCCCATGCAAACTCACTCTTCAGTTCATATGGAAACTTAGGGGTCCATGAGGAACCTTACGTGGCTGTCTTAGAATAAGCAATGTAACAGCAATGCTTTAAACATGGCAAGAATTAGAATTCTCTCTAAATGTTCTTAAAACTGAAAACATATTTTTAGAAACTTCATCTGCGCCCAGGTCAGAGTTGGTCAAGAGTAGTCTCTTAACACTGGCCCCCAAAGATCCTATGGGACACTCGAGTTGTGAATGTGACGATAACTCCAGTTATCTGTCAGCCCTGCAGTTGATCAAGGAGAGTGCTTCCAGGCCCCAAAGTCCCAACAGAAGCAGCAGCGTAGGGCCCATGTGTCCTATGTGGCAGTGCTGCGATGTGCTGTCCACTCTACCTTCGTCTGTTCCATTCATGATGGAAACACAGTCATCTCCTACCAGGAAAGGTGATGCTTTAAACACCTCTTTCACCTAAATGTAAAGAGAGACATTTCTTAGCTGGGTATGGTGGTGCATAACTGTAATGCCAGCACTCAGGAGGCAGAGACAGAGGACCTCAAGTTCAAGGCCAGCCTACTTAGCAAGAGCTTCTCAAGATAAAACAAAACACCCTCCCCCAGTCTCCCCCCACAAAAGGGGGACCATAAGGTCTCTAGACCATAAAATCTGTAGTTTCTAGGTGCACCATGAGTTCAGCAGGCAGTGGCAGAACACCCAAAGCGCTACAGGTTCTGAGCAGCAAAGCTCACATTTTGTTTTACACTTCTCAAATCCTCTGGAAAAGGTTTTCCTCAGCTAACCATCCTCCGGGCTAGCTGAGGCACATGGTGCCCTGAAGGCCCTGGCTTAGCTGCCCTTGATTGGAAGATCTCTGGGAGAATGAATGGGCTGGATTGGGATGCTTCTATGTCCTGCCTGTTCAACACTGGCTGGAAGGTTAGGTTTATTTTGTTTTGTTGTTGTTTTGTTTTGTTTTTTGAGACAGGGTATGCCAGGCTGGACTTGAACTTGAGGTCCTCTTACCTAAGTCTCCTGAGTGCTGGAATTATAGGCATGTATCACCATGCATGGCAGGGTTAGTGTTTTTAGTATCATCAGTCAATCCCCAGAGGGGGAAATGGCTAAGCTCACCTTTTGCAGTAACTTCTGAGCCTTTTCTCCTGGTAATAGGCGCAAACCAGCTGTGGCCTTGAGGACCAGAGGTGTGGCCTTCCAGAAGTCAAATGGAATGTCTTGTTTCGCAACATCCAGCAGCTCTTGGATCCCCTGGGTGCTCTATGGACATTGTAAAAGCAAAGCAGGACTGTCATACCCAGCCCACAGGGTCACAGTGTTACGCCTGATCTTTTGGGTCTATAGTAAGCATAGTTTTTTTTCTAATTTTCAAAGTTAGCAGGAGACAGTGACTCAAGTGGTACTGGTGGTCTGTAGGGACATAGGGACCAGGAGAACATGGAGAAAGACCCTTGGTGCAGAATGTGGCCAGGTGAGGGCAGGTCAGAAGCCAGGGGGCTAGGCCACCCTTTACAGTAACTTCTGAGCCTTCTGAGTAACACCCATGCCCAGTCCCATTATCACCCCTCACTAGGCAACTGGGTTGTGACTCTTCTGGATGTCATGTGTGTGGAAACTAGTAAATTCCAGAGTTCCTTATAGAACTAAGTCCCATGACTAACTACACTGCAGAACCACATCACCTGCTAAAATGCTTGAAACCCCAAGATTAGACAAGGCTCTATGTCAGTGCAGGAGTGGACAACTCAGGAAAGAGTGGCTGGGTGTGTCAACAGATGCAGTGCCATGGGGGAAACTAGCAACATCTGTCCAAGAAGAAAACTCACATTACTTCCACCCAGAAATCCCATTCCATGAATTCACCTGAAGATGCCCTTGTATGTGGGGGTGATGAAGTAAATATTAGGTGGCAGAATGTACCATTCTATTGTATATGCAAAATAAAAGGATAGAGAAGACATATAAACTGCTCATGGGCACATACACTGGCTTTGAAGGCTACATGAGAAATAGGAGTGTGGTTCTGGAGGCAGCCTGGGGGTGGGGTCCTCACTGTCATCCTGGGTAGCTTGGACATTCGCTCCATTGATTGTGTGTTACTTACCCACAAGTAAGATTATAAAATCCCATGAGTTTATTCTAAAGATATCTGATTTAATCAGGTTTAATCATATAGCCACTCCTGAATCACTAATTTCCATTTGTTTTATAACCAAGCTACAGGAAAGAAAGGGTTGCACTAGATTGCCCAAAACTGTGACACAACTGCAGGCAAGGACAATGGGTTAGCTCACGATTTGAGATATGCTGGAACTGGGGTGAGGATGCTCACCATTGGATTTCAGTGGTATAGCACTTGTCTAGCATGTGAGTGGCCCTTTTGGTTTTATAATAGGCATAATTTCTAAAATCAGCAGGAGACAGTGACTCAAGTGGTACTGCAGTGTGTGGGGACCCAGGAATCAGGAGAATGTGAAGGGAGGTGCCTGTAACCACAGGAAACTCACAATTCTATGAGTAACCATTTCACCAGTGCTTTGGGAGAAAACCAGGTGTTCTGTATTAGCACAATTGTAAGTATTAGGACTGCAGAAGTATAAATGCTACAAACTTATAGAAATCATTATTTGACAGTTTAATGAAATTTCTTTTATATTTATTTGGATTGCAGATTTCACATTATATATATTTTCTTATATTTATTTTGAAACTTTTTTTGTGGTGTTGGGGATGTAATGCAGGGCCTCTGGAAGCTAGGCAAGCACTTTACCAATGAGTCTCCCCCTTCCCCAGTCCTAGCACAATACATTTTTAACTTTAAAGTTTTGTTTCAGTAAATAAATGTATTATGGGGGTGAGATTGTAGATTAGTGGTAGAGTGCTTTACTTGATAGGAGGTCCCTGTGTTTAATACCCAGTGCCAAAAACATTATGCAAAATGCGTAAGAATAGTATATAAATTTTAATTAAGCCTCCAAACAATGCTTTCTGTAAGTTTACAACATTTGGGATTTTGAACTGCACCAAGTCTTCAGGACCCCAAATTGGGCCTACATGCTGGTGGGTGGGGCTGGGAGGCCTGGAGTAGATTGCACACTTCTTTCCACCTGACTGTCCTTGGTGGCACAGCAGGGTTCAGGGAGCACCAGCAAAGGTGCCTTCCTCTGAAAGATGGCCTACTGAATTCAAAGGAAGGGAAATGGCTTTAACAAATCACACGGTGAGGAGACATTTGAAGAACAAATTTAGACACGAAAGGGTGATTACCTTTTCAACATCGTCAGCATATGCAGAAAGTCCAGGTTTTAGTGCTTTGAAGGTTTCGTGGGTCAAGATGGGAGTTTCTACGGGAAAAATGTTTTTAAAACAATTTAACTATGAATATACATGATGTAAGAAAATATAACCGAGACTAGCCAGGCTTTTTAAGGGCAGATGTCAGAACAGATGGAGCAATTCCAGAGTGACGGGTCCCTTTGTTCTTTTTTGTCTAAATTCTGCCTCTATTTCAGCTGAACAAGATGAGTATGATACCTGATGTTTGAGCCAGAACTTTATTTAAAAATCAGCTTTGGGTTGGGATGTGGCTCAGTAATAGAGCACTTGCCTAGCATATATGAGATCCAGCAGTGTGTGTGTGTGTGTGTGTGTGTGTGTGTGTGTGTGCGCGCACAGACACAAACACAGGAAAAAAAATCAACTTGATTGAGGAGAACTTACTTACCAAAAACTACATCCATTTAAAATGTTATTTTAACATAGTTAATTCTTGCTGACTCAACAGGATGAATGATCCTAAACTGCAAATATGAAAATTACTTCCTTGATGTTTGGATGGTTGTATGACAGGTTCAACAGACTTAGCTTTTTTCTTCTTTTAAAGAAATTGAGTACTTTACATTTATAGGAGTAGGCTGGATTCCAGCAAGGAAAGTGTTGAGAAGCATCCTGTGGCCAAGCACGCTGATCCAAACCCAGAATGAAGACCCAGGAGGAAAAATTAGACCAGGAATGCAGGTAAAAAACTTTTACAAGAACTGTTTTCTAAAGACAAAACATTGGAATGTGGCTATTAAAGGATCACACACTGAACTGATCTCTCTCTCTCTCTCTTTTTGGCAGTACTGGGGATTGAACCCAGGGGCTTAGGCTTGCTAGGCAAACACTCTCTGCCCATGCCCCCAGACCTTTGGTTTTTATTTTGTTTTTGAGACAGGGTCGGTTTTGAACTTGAGATCCTCCTGTCTCTGCCCCCGAATAGCTGGGATTATAGGTGTAGACCACCACTCCCTGATGATGTGATGTCTTAAACTTAGCTTCTTTTTAAAAATCTTGGTGCTGGACTGAAAACTGTTGAGCAATACAGGGTAGGGGGAGAAGGGTAAGGAATTGTAATAGAGTATACTATATAGGTAAAATACCAAGTAAAACCCTACTGAACAATGAATAGACACTAAAACTACGAAGGACAGGAATGTAAAATAGGTCATGTTAAAGTAACAGTGGGAGGGGGAGGGCAAATAAAGAGGGTAGAGGAGGATGAATATGATTGAGGTACTTTCTATACATGTATGAACAAGGAATTTTGAAACCTGTTGAAGTCATTTTAAGAAGGAGAGTGAGGGAAGAGGGAGAATAATGGAAGGGATGAACCAAACTGGAGTACAATATATGTATATATGGAAATGTTACAACAAAACGCCCGTACAACTATCATATTCTAATAAAAATGTTGTTTAAAAACAGATTAAAAAAAAACAAACCCTTGGTACTGGGGATCAAACCCAATGCACTAAAACCCCAATGTGCTAAAACATGCCTTCCCACTGAGCTACACCAACCCTAAACTTAGTCTCAAAACCTCATTGATCTACTTATTTATTTATCAATTATTTAGATGTACTGGGGTTTGAATTTAGAGCCTCATGCTTGTTAGGCAGGTACTCTACCACTTCAGCCACTCTGTCAGCCCTGTTTGGTGTTAGGCATTTTTGAGATAGGGTCTTGCTAACTATTTGCCCAGGCTGGCTTTGACCCCCAATCCTCCTGATCTCTGCCTCTCAAGTAGTTACAGATCTCAGGGGTGAGCCAGTGGCTCAAAACCACTTTTTGGAAGTAGGTATGGCATCTAAATATTTTGCTACTGTAATACATTTAAAAAACAAAGCAATAGATATAAAATTATTGAAGTAAAAATACTACACATTTACAAAAAGCACAAGCATCATTCACCCTGTTGAATCAGCAATTAGCTACATTAAATTATTAATTTTTTTGGGCAGTACTGAGGTTTGAACTCAGGACCTCATGCTTGCTAGGCAGGTTCACTATCACTTGAACACTCTGCCAGCCCTTTTTTGTGTTGGGTATTTTTGAGATAGGGTCTCTCAAACTATCTGCCTAGGTTGGCATCAAACTGTGATCCTCCTGATCTCTACCTCCTGAGTAGCAAGGATTCAGTCATGAGCCACTGGTGCCCCAACAAACTACATTAAAATTTAATCCTTTAAATAGATGCAGATCTTTGTATCTAAATTATCCTCAATAAAGTTGATTTAAAAAAGAACACCAAAGTTTTTTTAAAAAAATAATGAAATTGTAGGTGAATAAAATATGCCACAGCTTTGGAGAGAGCTACCAAAAGTATCTCATGCCAATAGAGTAGTTAAATGCCAAAATGGTATCTACTCAAAAGGGTCACGAAGGACCAGTGAGGATATACATCCAGATGTGTGATTGGGACCTGCCTGGCAGAGGGCTGGAAAGCTAACTGGCTGTACCAAAGAACACAAATCTTAGGGGATAGACACGACAGTAGAGTGAAGAGCTGGGAAGTGAAGGAGTCTTCTCAGCCTGCTCTGGGAAGCAAAGCTGGTGGGGCTCAGATTCTGGGTCCCTTTGCGCTGCTGTGACCCCTTTTACTATCATCCCTTTATCTGGCTTGCCTGGATTTTTGACTCCCATAGGCCTGAATCTGCTGTTGCTTCCTACTTAAACTCTCCTGATAAGACCTGGCCTAAGTCACAGTCCCAGCTACCTAACTTGTTGGTGAATACAGGGGGAGGGAAGGCCACCACATGGACCTCAGCTGCTCTTCAGTGGTGCTCACTGTTTACTATTATAAGAATAACCTAGGACTCCTACAGAATGTAGATGTCCAGGCCCGGTTCATATCCTGAGCCAACATCTTTCAAAAGGAAAGCACTCTACTACTGAGCTGCGCTCCCAGCCCTTAGTAACTACATGTTGACAAGCTCCAGCCCACAGTTTTCTGAGATGAGGAGATCTCAAAAGCCCTTATTGAGAGGGGGAGAATGCAGATCCCATGTCTAGGCCCAAAGAGGCTTATGTTCAGGTTAGAATACCTCCAGGTGGCCGGGCAAACTGGAAGACATGTATGCGAGTGCCGGTGCTCCCAGCATCAAACATGATCCCGTAGAAGACCTCTTGACCATATGTGGCTAAGTCTGGGATGCTGTGGGCCTGCTGGCCCCACCGTGCCCCTGAGGCTGCTGCTGCAATGGTGAAGAAGGCCTGGGCAGCAGAAGCCCGGTGCCACTTGATGTAGGCGACATAGATGAACAGGCCCACGCACAGCCCCAGGGGGTATGCCACCTTCGTCATCCGCAGGGTCCCATGGTTTGCTATCTTTCTCATTTCTTAGTCTCCCAAGGACTGTGCAGCAGCTGCTTCTGGAAGGGAAGAGAGGCATGAAAACCATACTATGTTGCTAGGTTTCAGTGTGCATCAGAAGTTCCCAGGTCCAGGGGTAAAATCCTCAACCAGGAACTGGACTGTATTTTCCCTGGAGTCAAGAGGCTTCATTTAATCCTCCAGATGACTCTGGAAGATCTGGTCCAGAACTGAGGGTTAAACACTGTAGTATAATCTGCCTTATAGGTACTAAAGAGGCATAGCCTCTCTAGGGGTCATTCCACAAAAACTACTTTGGAACACACAGCTGCTTCTATCAAAAAGCCCTGGTTAGGAGTGTCCCTAGACCATTTAAGGTAACAGAAGTACACATCTCTCTCTTCTTTGAATCCTTACTCTACTCCCATTCAGGCAATTTACTTTTCCAAAGGTTTAAAGCCTGCCCTTGGACAACTACAGAAAGCCTGAGGCAACTGTAGTTTGTTTTTCCACAAGTTTAACAGATGCCCCTTTCATTCACAACGTGCATTCCTGCCAAGGAGGAAGTAATGTCTGTGTACTTTCAAAGCCTATAAAAATTCTGCCCAGAAAACAAAATAAGCTAATTGGCTGGGTGTGGTGGTCCATGCCTATAATCCCAGTGGTGAGTGGGTGTTGGAGGCAAGAGGATCACGACTTCAAGGACTACCAGGGCTATATAGTGAAACCCTGTCTCAACAAACAATTTATTTCAGCACCATTATTTTTTGTTTCATACACTCCAGAATGAAAGCATTTGTTTAAGTTTTGTTAGTAGTTCCTGGCCTTCCACAGACAAGAATGAGGACCTTGATCTTCAGGGCTCCCTTGCTCTTGAGGAAAGTCCATTGGTCTCTCTCTTTTTTTTTTTTTTTGGTGGTACTGGGCTTTAAACTCAAAGCCTCCTGCTTGCTAGGCAGGTGTTCTACCACTTGAGCCACCCCCCTCCCCTGCTCCATCACTCTCTTGATGAGTGGAGCAGCCAATCCTGGAGGAGCAGGAGGCTTGGAGTGCAGGCTGGGAACAGGACATGGTTCCTGCTGGAAGCAGTGTGTGACGATGGGCAAGCTAGTCCCAACTTGTTTGCAAGGTGGGGTTGTTCACAGGTAAGCTGCCTCCTGACACTGAGGGGACTCAGTGTGTTCAGGATGGCTATAGAGAACACAGATAATGCAGGCTTTGCAGAGGCACAGAGCTGGAAACATCCCCTGGGAACCAAGGGCAGTGATGGGCAGGAGGACCATGTGGTGCACTGCCTGAGGAGGCAGACCGTGAAGAGGGGCAAGCCGAGGCAGCTACATGCCAATCTTGAGGCTACCTGGGGGGGGGGCAGGAATGGAATGAAAGGGACCCTTAGGAGACAGCATGAAGCAGGTCTTCCTTGGTCCCACTTGCCTGGGTTCCAGCTCGTGGTCACACCTGGATGTCACTGTGCCCCCGGAGCTCAGGTCAGACAAGTGCTGCCTTTGTGCGCCTGGCAGAGCTGGGGCAGGAGACAACACATATCATCCCTCCTCAGCATCTGCCATGTGCTGGCTCCAAGATGGCTTTCTGGCAGATGCCGAGAGGCAACCCTCCTCTCCACCCCCAGCTCTTGCCTTTCTTTGTGTCCTACTACATTTGGAAGCTTCCCACTGCTCTCAGAATCATGTTTCCACCCCCTGCTATGGCTTGGCCACTGCAACTTCATCTCACTCCTCTTTCACCCTTGCCCATGTGTTCTCCAAATACCAAAAACACAGTACCTCCTTCTGCCCTGAGAACTCAGCTCTGCCTTGCCTCAGACCTTGTGCACACTGTTACCCATTCTCAGAATGCTTGTCCATCAATCTGGCCAACTCTGTCCAACTGTGACTTATCTCAATGCCTCTGCTGAATGGTTCTGCCACCTTCTCCAATACACCCATCTGGTACATCATCTGTCATGCGCTCTGAGCTCCCTGCAACTGCCATCATCTGCAGTGATGTCAGTGTTTGTGGGATTAGTTCCTGAAGGTCTGTGTCTCCTCTCTAAGCTGTGAGCCCCCCAAAGGGAGAGACACAGTCCCCCAGCATGGCACATAGGCTCTTATCTGCTACACAAAATGATGCTCTTCCACCCAATCTTCCATATATCATCACCAGACACACAAAGAGCCCCTGTTTAGAGGATCATTTTTCTTCCCTTCCCTTCCTTTTCCTTCCCTTCCCTTCCTTTTCCTTCCCTTTGCTTCCTTCCTTCTTTCCTTTCTTTTGGCAGTACTGGGGTTTAAATCCAGGGCCATGCACTCCACACCTCCAATCTTAGAATAATAGCAAGGTGGTGGAATAGGAAGCTTGAGGCCTTTGTTCTCTTATGAAAAGGTTTAAGACTAAATAAACAAACAAACAAATAAATCAACCAACCAACCAGAGACTGGCTAAAAAATATATATAGAAGCTTTCGGAAAAAAGTTAAAGATCTTCAGCAATCAAGAGAATGCCCAGTAAGGAAAAGCCACACTCAGGATGGTAAGAAATTTTCTGGTGTTGTACTCCCTCATTGCCCTGCTCTCGGATAGGCACTGGAAATACTGGACAAAGGCTTTAAAAAAAGTATCTTAAGGATGCTGAAGTGCTAGAAGAAAATACAAAGAATTAAAAGAAATCAGGAAAAGGACATATGACAACAAATAAGAATATGAAAAGGGAGACAGAGATTATAAGAAGGAAATAAATAGAAATTGTGGAGTTGAAAATAAAACTAAATAGAAAACTTGACTAGGACATATCAGTAGAATATTTTAATAGGCAGAAGCATCAGCAAACCTGAACACAGGACATCTGAAGTTATCAAGTCAGTGGAGCAAAAAGAAAGAAGAATGAACAGAGCCTAAGGGACTTCTGAATACCATTAACCATACACACAAAATTAAGAGTCCACAAGGAAGAGAGAGAGAGAAAAGGGCAAGGGATTATTTGAAGAAACAATTGCTGAACAATTCCCAAATTTGAGGAAAGACATGAATACAAACACTTAAGAAGCTCAGTGAATTCCATGGAGGATAAACCCAGAGATCCATACCAGGACATAATAATCTAACCAAATCACCAGAAGACAAAGGAAGAATCCTGAAGGCAGCAAGAGAAAAGTGACTCATACCTAACAAAGAATCATTTGGATCACCAGCCAATTTATTGGCAAAAACACTGGAGGCCAGAAGGAAGCTAGATAATATATTTAAATTGTTCACTGAAAGGAAAAAAAAAATCTGTCATCATAGTTGGGCATGGTGGTACAGGCCTGTAATCCCAGCCAGCACTTGGAAGGCTGAGGCAGGAGGATCAAGAGTTCCAGCCCAGCCTGGGCTACACAGTAAAGTCCTATCTCAAAACAAATACAAAACAAACAACAAAGAAAATCCCCTGCAACAAAGAATTCTACATTCAGCAGAACTACCCTTCAAAAGTGAGGGGAAAATGAAGACATGCTCAGATAAATAAAAGCTGAGTTCATTACCACTAGCCTTGTCCTCCAAGTATGCTAAAGTTGAAATAAGTGGATATAGACAGTAATTAAAAACTATCACAAAATGTAAAGACTCCAGCAAAGGTAAATACATGGAGAAATATAAAAACCAATGGGGCCACATCAAACTAAAAAGCTTCTGTACAGTAAACAATAAATAAAAAAGGCAACCTATGGAATGGGAGAAAATATTTGCAAACAAATTAATTACCAGGATATATAAAGAACTCTTAAAACTCAACAACAAAAAATAACTTGACTTAAAAAAAAGACGGGGACATATTTCTCCAAAGATGTACAGATGGCCAACAAGCACAGGAAAAAATGCTCAACATCATTAATCATTACAGAAACACAAAGCCACAATGAGATATTATCTCACATCCATTAAGATGGCCACTATCAAAAACAAACAAAGAACCCCTCCCATAAAAAGACAAGTGTTGGTGAGAATGTAGAGAAACTGGAACCCCTGGGCACTGCTGGTGGGAGTGTAAAATGGTATACCTGCTATGGAAAATAGTATGGCACTTCCTCTAAAAAGAAAAAAACAGAATTATCATATGATCTAGCAATACCACTTCTGAGTACATATCCAAAGAAACTGAAGTCAGGATCTCAAAGATATATTTGCATAACCCATATTCATTGAAGCTTATTCACAAAAGCCAAGAGGTGGATGCAACTCAAATGTCTGTTGACAGATGAAAGAGAAACAAAACATGGTCTAGCCACACAATGGAATATTTTTCAGTCTTAAAAAAGAAAGCACTGGGGATTTAGCTCAGTGGTAGAGTGCATACTTAGCATGCATAGGTCTTGGATTCAATCCTTAGCAACACAAAAAAAATTAATAAAAGGAAGGAAATTCTGACATATGCTACAACCTGGATGAACCTGGAGGACATTCTACTAAGTGAAATAAGCCAGTCACAAAAAGACAAAAACTGTATTATTCTACTTATATGAAGTACCTAGAGTAGTCAAATTAATAGACACAGAAAGTAGAATGGTGGTCGCTAGTGACTGTGAGGAGAGGGGAATGGGGATTTATTGGATATAGAGTTTCAACTGGGGAAGAAAAGGTTTAGGAGATGGATGGATGGTGGTGATTTTTTTTTTATTGGTGATGTTTGCACAACAATGTGTATGTACTTTAGTCACAGAACTGTACACTTAAAAATGGCTAAGATGGTAAATTTTGTTATGCATACTGTTATAGTTTGGACATAACTCCAAAGGTTCATGTGTTAAAGCATGGTCCCCAGGTGATAGTGCTATTGAGAGGTGATTAGATCGTAAGGGTGCTAACTTCATCATGGGTTAACCCATTGATGAGCTCATATCTGAATAGGCTATTAGAAGATGGGGCTGAATTAGAGGAAGCAGGTCACTAGGGCATGCTTTTGAAGCGTATATCCTGTTCTCAGCCCCTTTCTCTTCCCACTCTCTCTGTTTCCTGACTGTCATGAGGTAAGGAGCTTTCCTCCACTATACCCTTCTGTCAAGATGTTTCTGGCTTGCCACAGGCCTAAAAGCAATGGAAACAGCTGGCCACAGATTGAAACTTCTGCAACTGTGAGCCAAAATGAATCTTTCCTCCTGTAAGTTGTTTATTTCAGCTATTTTATCATAGTGGCAAAAATCTATCATATTTTATTACAATAAAAATAATCTTTCAATGGCTGAGGCAATGTGTGGTATCAGTAACATAAGTGGGTATAGGTAGGGCTGTAAAGGAGAGGAGGCCAGGCAGGTAACATACATGAGTTCTGTGAGTGGAGGATGAAAGAAAATGCAGTGGAGGTGGGGAAGAGGCAGAAGGTGGGGCCTGCCCACCACGGGAAATTCAAACTCTTGGTTCTCATCATGCCTCACTTTTTTTTAAATTGTATTATCGTTATTCTGGGTGTACATTATGACATTTACAAAAGTTCTTACAATATATCATAGTTGAATTCACCTCCTTCTTTTCTTTTTCTTTCCTTTTCTTTTTTGGTGGTACTGGGGATTGAATTTAGGATCTCACACTTGCTAGGCAAGTGCTCTATCACTGGTAACACAGTGCCAGTCCTTTTTGCTTTTAGTTTGTTTTCAGATAGGGTGTTGTACTTTTTTGCCCTGGCTAGCCTCTGGCTGAGCTCCTCCTACCCACACCTTCCGAGTAACTGGATTATAGGTGTGCATTTGTCATGTCTCACTCTGAAAAAGGTGGTAGGTCATGCCTTACTGTGATTCTTCCTGCCTTAAATGTTCTAATTTTTTTTTCCCTCCACACCCCTGCAACTCTCCTAAGACATTTACTGCCACCGTGAACCCTGGCCACTGGAGGCCCTTTCCTTTAGCTCTATGGTGGCTCTACACACTTCTACTTCACTGGTGAATTATATGTGGGATTATTTATGTGAGGCTCTCTCCTCCTGGGTCAGATGATGCCTCTCTAGGAGCAGGGACCAGTCCACCCATTCCAGGACCAGTCCACCCATTCCAGAACCTTCCACACCCAACATGAGGCCAGAGGCTGCTCAGCAACACTTGCTTCTGGGGGTGGCCATCTGATGGCTTAGCTATTTACTAAGGCAAAACAGGCAGTAAAAGAAAGATGGTAGCAACTATGGTGCCCCAGCATTTGGGTGGTGGCCACAGACAGGAGCAGGATAGTGAGGTAGGACCATTTGACAGGAGGCACAGTAACCAGCAGATTAATATAAATGGGACTGACCCTTGTGAGAGAGGACAGATTGGGGACTAGTGCCTGGGGGACTACCTGATTCGGAGATGTTAGCTGAAACAAAGAGAAACATGTAGTGTGGGGAATGTCCATCCAGATAGTCAAGCTCTCACCCTACATCAGCTTCTCCTGTAGTCATCCCTTTGTTAGGTTACCATGACCCAAACCTTCAGGTTTCTATGTGATCATTAAATGCTGACTTAATTTTATTTACAGAGAAAGTTCTGAAGCGGTTATTTCCAGGCATGAATATAGAGAGAACACAAAAGCAACACTAACACTTTGTAATTGTAAAACAATTGTTTTATAAAATTCTCTTCAAAGAATCGAGTTTTATCATGTCCTAAGTGATCTATCAAATTTGAGGCAAAGTTGGCTCTTTTTAAAATTTATCTACCCATTAAAAAAAAAAAACCTTTTCTATATCATCTCTTATGTCCAGGGGCCCAATAGGCTGGTGCCACTGCCCTCACTTTATATAGGTCCACACTGAGGTCCTAAGAGTATCTATAAATGGATTTGCCTGAAATTGTACACCTGGTATGTGGTATAGCACAGACAAGAGTTCCTGACTTCAGCCTCCAAAATGAAGGTGTTTTATTGCTTCACTGGCCTTATAAGTACAAGATGCTACTTTAGAAAACCAGTAACATTCACACGAACCAACCTACAATCATTAAAGCTACTCACCAACAAGTTCAGGATGATATTAACAGAGTCCAAATAGAATAGCATTTTGAAGAAGCACAGAACCAGGAAGAGCCTGATCCACAGGCCAGTTCCCTGTCTCTGAGGCCCAAGTCTAAATAGCAAATTCATTCCATTGGTTAAGGTGTTTGTCTACAACTAAGACACTTGTAGGACACAATCACATTTCTGTGGGTACTTCAAACACTCAGTGAGGGACATTACTGACCAGACTCTCCAACAGGTTCTCTGAGGAAAACAACCTTATTTAGTCTGTTCTTTAGAGCGAAGAGTGAGGCTGTAAGGAAGGAAAGCCAGGCGGGGAATGAGCAGAAGGTGGGGCAGGAAGCACGGTGCACAGAAGCAAAAAGAGGCTTGACTCCTGCCAGGGGCACCTCTGTCAGATGGAGGCAGGAGTCAGAGGAAAACATGAGTGTGGGGTCAGGAGTCTGCCCTATCCCCTGACTAGCTTTTAGGAGCTGTGGACAGCAGGTTGGCCCTTGGAAAAACATGCTCCCACTGACTTGGACTGGCAGCTGCCTAATCTGTTGGCTAGTTTTTCCCAGATTTTCATTGAAGTAGATGAAAGGACAATGATTGCAAAGACTGTCACACATGCTGAAAACATATTTAAAAAGAAAGCACACAGAGGTGAGATGGGAGGATCCCAGTTCACGGCCAGCTGGGGCAAAAGTTAGTGAGCATCTCTGTCAAAAAACAAGCCAGGAGTGGTGGCTCATGCCTAGAATCCCAGTTAGGCTGGAAGTGGAGGTAGCAGAATCTCAGTCTAAGGCTAGCCTTGGACAAAAAAGTGAGACCCTACTTGAAAGAGACAAACTAAAGAAAAAAGGGTTGGAGGTGTGGCTCAAGTGGAAGAGTACTTGCTTAGTAGGTGCAAGGCCCTAAGTTCAAACCTGCAATATAGATAAAAAAAAAAAATTAAATAAGAAAAATTAGAAAACCACCATTCTCCTGATAGGTGTAAAAAGACTTCTTAGCAAAACAAAACAAAACAAACATCCCTTCCCCAAAAGAAATTTAAAAAACCATACATGAATTGTGTCATTTTCCACCTGCTATTTTCTTTTCACAGGATTTGGTGGGAAGAGAGGCATTTCTAGACCTCCTTACACAAACAGCTGTCCACCTCTCAGGTTCTGCCAGTGAGGCTCTAAGAGGGAGACAGATACACAACATTAGCCAACAGTTTGAGGCAGGACAGACTATGGAGATGGAACTTGAAAAGCAGAAACAAGAATTCAGAGATAAACATTATACTAATAAACAGTCTGATTAAAAGTGCACAAAAACCATTTTCTTTCCTTCACACTCCCTCATCAAGCAGTAAAATGGTGCTCTCCCCCCAACTTCTGTCATTGTTTCAGATGATCATTATACTTTAGGGATTAAGCATGTACACCTTCAAGAAAACTTCCTGGTCTACTCCACTCCCTTCTTTTGAATGGTAATCATTAAGAAGTCACAAAAAAAGACATTCATGTTGCAAGGGCCTAGATTTAGTATCTCAGAGCTTAATGTTTTCAGACCTAGTTGATAACTTCACAACACTGTGACAGCAGATATGACTAAAATGCCTAAGAAAAAGAATATGTAACAGGAATCCAACTCCCCTCCCCAATCCCACTTTTCCTACCATTTATACCTTTGCTAAAACAGCCCATTCACAAACAGCCCATTGACAGACAAGCCAGGCCTTGTCTGTCAGGCAGTCTGCCCTTTTGCTTTACTTGCTGAATAAATCTGTCACTTGCCTTGCGTGTCCCTGCCTGAAATTCTTATTCTCTGTTCAGGGACAAGAATCTAAAGGGCTGAGTTTTAAGGAGTCCTCTTCTCCTTTCTGGGGCATCTCCCTGGGACTGTAACCCACCAGTAACATTTCCAGGGCAGAAGTAGGGGGATAAAAACTCACCCAGTTTTGGATTGGTAACATTATGCTTGCCAGATTTTTTATTACATTGTTAACACAATGGTAACACCAGCAGGGAAACCTCCCTCAGACAAATGCTATTTCCATGGATCTGTGCCTTGGTCTGAGGGAGAGTCCTTGCAATCACATTCACTACCCACCTCTTCTCAAAGAACCTCCTTCTTAGATGTTTGAAATTCTCCCACGGGTAGCTATGACGGGAACTTCCCCTTGCATTCTGTATGATGTAAAATGTGTGGCTGGGATCTAGGTGCCTATGGAGACATTTAGAATGGCCCAGGAAATTTCAAGTGATTGGTTCCTTTGGATGATCTATCCAGAAACACAGGGTTTCGCCTACCTCTTAAAACCATCCAGTAGCTTCCAACTATGCTTAGAATAAAAACCATCCTCCCTTCTCTATCCCATAGCATCTGTCTTTCCTTTTCCATTCTCTTGGCTGTTGAATGATTACCATTCTGGCACCCAGCTCTGTCCATCCCAAGTCTCTCCCTTTAGTTTGAAGCACCGGTGACTACAGGTCAGCTCAGGCAGAAGTACCCTGACCCCTTAGCGCTCTTTTCGGTCACCACCGCATCAAAGTTTACTGCCTTCTCATCTTCAGTATTGTCTGGAGGGCAGATCTTTCCCGTTTGCTGAGCTTCTTAACTGGACTGTGCGATCCAGGGGGGAGGGGCCTGCTTGTCCGGCCCCCGGCGCTAAGCTGGGGGGCGGGTCAGCAAATGCTAGCGCAATGAATGAATGCGGCGGGGCTGTAGGCTCTTTGGGAGGAGAGACCCTGCTATTCCGCCTACCCTGCTGCTCACAACAGTGACCCTCACGGTCACTGGCGTCCAGACATCCAGGGAGGACTAATGGAGCCGCGACAAAAAGGCAGCAGGAGAGGGAACCCGCCCTCCAGAAGCTGCTGCTTGGGACCGTGGTGGTGTCAGGCGCGTGGGCTGCACTTCGGGGAGCCTGGACCCTTCTCCATTCTCTGCCGCCTCCAAGGCGCACCGACCACATTTGCGCGTGGAGAGGCTCACCCGCGCCAGTTATGCCGGTCAGAAGAAACCCCGCCGGCCCCGCTTACCAGGCACAGCGCCTTCTGCCCCACCCACGGATGCGGGTGCTGCCTCTCGGGCAGCGGGCAGGCGGCGGACGGAGGGTACTTCCCAGCGATCCTGCCCTGGCCAGCGTCACCACAGCCTCTACCCGCGGGTCGTGACCTCGGGGATCCCTTGAGCCTGGCCCCGCCCACGTGCGTCACCGGCCGGGCGGGGCGTCGAGGCCCAGTTGCGCGGGCGCAAATGGGCCGTCTAGACTCAGTGGCGCAGGCGCAGGCGCAGGCGCGGGCGGGGCGGGGCGACGCGACGCAAGCTACTGCACAGGCGCGGGCGGGGGCGGCACGTCGAGGCCCAACTGCGCAAGCGCAGCGCTTAGTGGCTGGTGGGGGAGTGGTGGTGGTGGCCTCAGTCCTACTTAGTGGTAGAGTTCCCTTGCTCTTACAACCTTGACCGGCTTGTGGAATTTGTCCTAGATCCCTCTACATCTAATTTTCTTTCTTTTTTCTTTCAAGGGAATACGTGATAGAAAATGCATCAATGGTGGAGAAGGCAGAGTGATCAAGTCTCCCCCATTCTTAGCCCTATTTTCTGTTGTCTTCCTGGAAGCCACCAAGTTGCCAGCTCCTGGAATGCAGCCCTACTTGTTTACTCGATATCGCCGAGATCCGGGCTGCCCAGATGGCCACCAAATCGGTCGCCTTCCTTCCCGCCAGGGACGTCCCTTTTCTCGGGTGCCCTTGCAAGAGGCTGCCCACTGAAGGGCATCTGGCCACTGAGGTGCGGGTGCGCTCCGCATCTGGGCCCCTGGAGAGCTAAGACGTGAGGATTCAAATCCTCGAATGGTCACAAATTTGTGGTCAAGACAGGACACCTCCGAGGGTAAGTGCAGGACAGGGTGCATAAAACAGAACTGGCAATCAGGGCATGCAGTAGTCCTGCAGATCCACTCGACAGACTGCCACCCACGAGCACCTGGTTAGATAGTGCCCTCCTTTTACTCTCCCTTTACCTCGTCAGACCATCGAGGTTTGCTTATGACTGCAGCTGGCCATATCGTTCGTTTTTGGTGGACCCGAAAGGTGTTTGGAGTTGTTTGTTTGTGTTTTGGTGGCATTGAGTTTGAATTCAGAGCGTTGTCTTGCTTTTTTTTTTTTTTTTTACTTTATTTTCAGATAGGGTCTTGTGCTTTTTGCCTGGGCTGGCCTTGGACTGCTTTATCTCTGCTTCCCTCCTACCTGGTATTGAAACTGGAGTTTTGAACCCCAGGCCCAAACTTCTGGAATTCCATATGCCCGGTCCAGCTACTTACACCAGTACACCAAATAAAGAGGCATGGTGAAGGACAGAGAAAGGATATTTATTACACGGTCTGGGATATGCTGTAGTAAGAGGCAGAGTGAGTATGCAGCCCATGTTCAGCCATCTTTGGGGTACAGACATTAGCTATAGGTTTAAATAGAAAGAATTTGGAGCAGGGGGAGAGGTATGCACAGTTAAATAGTCTCACTCACAGATGTAGTCTGGTTGGTCATTATTTCAGTCCTTGTTCTGAAGAGGTTCCCAAAGTTGTAAACCAGAGTCACTGTCACCTGGCAGGTGGTCTATCCTAAGAAGCTGTACTGTTAAGGGTAGTTTCAGTCCTTTGTTGTAAAGATGTTATCAAGTTCTGTCTTTCCTGGAATCCAAGGTGATTGCAAAGTGCCTTTGGAGAGAATGGCTTAGAGCAAAGATAAATACAAAATAAAAAAGAGATGCTATTCTTTTCTCCTGCTTTTAGTTAATTTGTGGGCCCAAGTAAGGCATAGGGGCTTTTCAGCAAAAGCAGTTTAAGCCACTCTTACAGTATTGAAGCTGTGAATCATTACACCAGGCTTGCTTGTTGAGATGGGGTTGGGGTAGGGTGTCAGGGAGGTCTCAATAACTTTTTGTCCAGGCTGACCTAGAACTTCAACCCTCTTGATTTCCACTTCTTGAGTACCTGAGATGAGCCACTAGGCCTGGCCAGTTGTATCTTTTTATAAATAGTGATACAGGACCCCAAGGATTACCTTGGTGCACACCTGTAGATATAACTGTAGGAAAAATTCTTATAAGTATAATTGGCTATGGTAAAGAATATGCCTTTTTAAATTAAATACTGCATAGATACGTACAATGAGATGCTTTGAGGTGGCAGCGTTTATGGGAATTCGCCACAAGTGGAGTTTAATCACGGCACTAATTAACACTCCCACAAAAAATGTGAAGAAATGTTCCCCCATGTTTCACTAGTGGAGTCCTTCCAAACCTTTGGGTCTTTGCTAACCCAATGTTTATAAAACTATTCTTAACAGTTTTAATTTATTTTTTTTTGATATTTTGAAATCCCTGTTCATGGAACTGTGGTGGCTATGCTTCTGTCTACCTTGCTCACAACATCTTTTATCATGCCTCCATTTGCACCATATTTCACTTTTAGAGTTTCTAGAATTTGCCTAAGTTTTGGGTGTGCTATTTACTGCTTGGAAAACTTTCCCACCAGGTCTTTTGTTTCTCATTTGTTTAGACTTAGCTCAGAAATAAGATAAAAAAAAGTAAAAAGAACAAAAAAAGATAGCTTAAATACCATTCATCTAGAGTGGCCCCCCTAGTTTATTAACTATTCTATCATTCTTTATATATTTTCTTCATAGGACCTATCACATCAATCTTTTTTTTTTTTTTTGACTTGTTTATTGGGGCATTGTGTTTGTTTCACTACTGAAGTGTAAGCTCCATGAGAGCAAGGAACTCTTCTGTCCTGATCATTGTTGTCTGCAGCCCTCTGCCTGGCATATGGTGCCCACATCCCACAGCCCACTTCCGACTTCTGCTCTCCACTTATGGTGCAGAGTTCCCATAAATGCTGCCGCCTCAAAGCATCTCATTGTGTCTTCTTTAGAGCTTACCTTAGGACTTCATCTGGAAGCTCTCAGAGCAGGCATATCTTGGGAGTTTAATTTCCCCCAGGGCACCTGCAGGGAAGGTCCCCAGGCTGCCTTGGAAGGACCCAGTCCCCCTTTCTTATTTGTCATTTTCAGGAATAACTAGAATGTGCTAGGAATGTAACATCTTGAGACAACAGAGAGCTGGCCAAGAATGCCCAGGCTCTGTTCCCCCTTCTTCAGTGCTTTAGCCCAGAATATAAACCCAGGGTGGGCCGGGCACTGTGGCTCATACCTGTAATCCTAGCTACTCAGAAGGCAGAGATCAGGAGGATCGCCATGTGAAGCCAGCCTAGGCAAATAGTTCTTGAGACCCTATCTTGAAAAAACCCATCACCAAAAAGGCTGTGGTGTGGCTCGAGATGTAGGCCTGAGTTCAAGCCTCAGTACCACAAAATAAATAAATAAATAAAAATAAAATAAAACACAGGGTGGGCTGCTGTCTAAGGTCCCTCATTTCTAGGGCAATCAGACGACATGCTCAGCTTTCCTGAGCCTTGGGAGATTGACTGACAATGAATCCTAGGCTTCCGTTGCCCCTTCCTGCTTATCTGCAAGCAATAAATCTGCTTCATGTCACTTGTTGAGCATGAATGTGTCTTTCACTAGACACATTTCACTAGAGACATGGTGGTGACCAGCACACAGCTTCACAGCAGCCCTTAATTTTAGGTAAATGCCTCAGACTTCTGTTCCCAGAGGTACAATTTCGAGTCCCCAGCAGGGTTAGCCTCAGTTACCCACAATGTTCAGTAATGTTTCCTTGGGATGGCTTTCCCTTCTTCCTGTGCTTTCTTTCCTTTTTTCTCATACCTACTTGTGGAGGTCACCTCCCAAATAAACTACCTGTGGCTAAGCTCTTGTCTCACACTGCCTTTGGGGAAACGCACATGAAGAAAGTAGTCGGTTCTTGCTTCAGCAACACATATACTAAAACTGGAATAATATAAAGATTATCATGGCCTCTGTGCAAGGATGACACATAAATTTGTGAAGCATTCCATTCTATATTTTTTAAAGAGACAATATTCAAAATGTTAAAAGAATTATGGTTCTTTGGAGGTTTTCACTTGTCAGCAGGAAGCAGCAGGTCAGTCCTGTGGGTGGAAGACATGGAAGCTAACTAGTACCCACCCCACGAAGGCAGGAGATGGAGTGGAAAACAGGAAACTAAGAGATAGGTTATAGCAGAAATGTAGGCAAAGCCTCTGACAGCAGGAAGATGTGACTGGCCCTGTTTTAGGAGGCTGAGAAAGTTTTAGAAGAAGTAAATGAGTTTTTAAACTACCTCAGTTTACCCGATGTGACTATGAGGAGAGGGAATCCACTGTTTTCTGTGGTGCCTGCTCAGATAGGCCCATCTACTCCCACCAAGCCAAGAGGGCAGCTGCAAATCTGTCTGCTAGATGAAGCAGGATAACATGGGCTCCGCAGTGTCTCTGGTGGCAAGGCTGCCAGTACTCTTCCTGCCGCATGCACTCCACCGCAGGGGCCCGTGACTCCTGAACACAGGGCTTTCTTTTGGCCAGAAAATACCCAGCCACTGGAATTCCAGGCAGTGCTCCAGAAAGTGGCCTTCGGCTGGCAACAGGAATATAGACCCTGACTCCCCAACTCCTCAAGCAGGGCAGTAACTCTTTGGTGTGTCAGCACTGAAACGGAGCCTCAGTTGCCCACTGTTTTGACCCAGATTGACTTCTCCTCTTTTCTGTCTTGCTTCCCCACCCCTCTACTGCTGTTTCCTGGGGTCAAATAACAACTTGTCCCCAAGTACTTGGTCAGGATTTGTTCTAAGGGGAATTTCACATAAGACATCTGTTGCTCATAGGTGATTTTGATAATAACACTGAATAAACTATCTTAAGTTGCTCTCTGATTTCTTCCTCTGGTTCCCTGAAATCCATAATCACAAATTACCAATATTCTTTTTAAGTCCCCCAGAGAAGTCAGACTCTCTTTGCTCATGGCTACCCTTTCATATTCTGAAATCTAGTACACATTTGGAACAATGAGAGGGAAACCTTACTTTGCACAGAGGAAGTTGGTTTTTATTGTTCCTCCCTGCCACACTGGCCATTCATAATGTGGTCTGTTTTGATTTCCCGATGAAATGGTCCAACAGAGGTCACCTTATACTGCAGTGACAAGCTGATTGAGACAACTAGAAGTATAGCTACGACACAGGCAAGTAATATTCTAAGTGATTCATTAAATACCTGAGTAGGAGGGGGCTGGTGTG